GGTATTACCTAGCTAGTCAAGCAGACTGACATACTTGAAAAAGAGCTGTCAGCCATCCTATTCGATTCTGAATACTAATGTAATATAGTCCAAACCCACTTTCACTTTTCTCTCCCTTTTCTGTCTCTCTTCTTGCTCAGTCACTACTTCCGCTATCTTTGAGTAATATCGACCTTACGGGTCATCCGGAATTTTTCCCTCGTCAGATAGGTCCGGTTTGTCTTCTCGATAGGGTTGATTCGGGTTTCCTGAATTCTTAGGATATTGGGGATTGGTGGCGAAGTCTAATATAAATCTGTTTATGTACGTTGTGTGCCACAGACATGATTGTGTAATTCCTGTCCGTCTCTGTGGTAAATTTGTCTCTTGGTCTCTTTGCAACCAAGGACAACTTCGGGAATCAGGGCTAGAATAAGAACTCCTTCAATAAAATGCACAACACTGTTGATAGAAGATTTATTGAATATAAAGAAAAACTGATCAATAAAAACCAAGTTCTCTACTATCGGATAGTGATTTGAGAAATCTCGTGTCAAAAGTTAACGTAATAACAAGCAAGTCGGCTCTCATTCAATTATTTTCTCATATGCGTTTTTGTTTTCACTCTGGTTACAGGAAGTGCGGATGTATTCTTTACCGACAGCAATCCCTAGCAACTCCAAATGGACTTCCTCTCGTGTCTATTTCCGTGTGTGTATCTTTGGGCGAGTGAGCTTTCGTTCATATTTATGGCCCACCAAATTTGACGTTGATATATCTAATTTCTCCACTCTTGTTTTTAGGCAGACAGCATTAACTGAAATAATTTCTAAGCTTGAGAATTATATAAAATCCAGATCCTTCTCTGTATAGAATTTGTGGTCACACTTTTCTGTAAGAACACTGTGACGTCGTCCCCCGGTCGCAGCGCCAACTGTGACGTTCTATCCTGATCTACCACGGCGCCAGTTGTGACGTGGTCGTTCCAGGGTCCTATCCCGTTCACGACACCAGATGTGATGTCCCTAAACAGCACCAATTGTGACGTCTTCGCCGCGGCGCCAGCTGTTCGCTCCTCGCTGCTCCGTCCGGGTGTCGCTGCTCCAAACGTGACGTTCTAACCCTTTGGTGATTCGGGTAGGAATCTGGTTAGATTTGATATCAGCCTCGCCGTTCCCAACCCGCTTCCAACGCCTGGTTACCAAGGTAACTGCACTGATCTCCAGTCTGCCTACCCACGTTGTGAATTGATCTTAGAAAGACGAGATCAAACGGGGGTTGGGGCCGTAATGCAAATTGAGTTCAACGGGGGTGATAACACACAAATATGCATAAAAGAAAAGAAAATGAAAACTCAAAAAGTTCAAAGTGTCAAAGAAAAAGGTAAACTTTTTATGTCTAGTTGTTCGGTACATAGGGACTGCATCTATCTCCCGACCCGTTCCGTGGATTGTGGCACGTCGCTTTCGCTAGGCAAGTTTTAACGCTTCAAGTTGTCTGCTCTCTAAGAAATTGGTGTTTCGGTGTGTCTTTGGACGAAAGCCGAAAAACTTATTTCTGTGGTCTGGTTCTAAGTCGCTCTTCAAACTAATTGTTCTTGGTTGAAGAAGAGTCCAAAATTTTGCGTGAATCTTGGTCAGCTATCTTGATCTATCATCTCTGCCGTCGGTGCGCGAACTACTGGGCACTCATCTCTGCCGTCAGGGCGCGAACTTCTCTAACTCTGCCTGCCAGAGTCCGACGAACTACTGGGCACTCAGCCCTGCCGTCGGGTCGCGAACTACTGGACTAACTCTGCCTGCCAGAGTCCGACGAACTGATTTCTGTCTGGTGGGGCTTCGTTTTTATTGACGCCGTCAAAACCGGGGTGGGTCTGCTTGGCGTCGGAGGTTCCTCGATAATTCTAAATACATATCCACCCTTCTTATTTCTGGTTAGGGATTTTCCACTCTTTTCCATTTTTGGTAACTCTTTTCTCACTCCCACTTTCTCACCATGCTTCTGAGGGGCGTGAACTGCCCTCCCCACTTCTTCGTAGCGGCTTCTCATACTTATACTCTGGATAGGACGTCGACTGAGGTCCTGGTCGGGTATCTTCCCTCCTCCTTCGTGCGTCATGTGATCACCACTTGGCCAATGACGTCTTAGTCTGGCGTGGACAACCCGTGGCTTTGTTTTGGAAAAGAAATATACCTTGCTTAACTAAAAAAAAATTAATGATCTCTCCTCTCCTCTTTCTTTCAAATCGCCGTTATCATGGGCGGTTAATGTGACAACTCTCTGTTCAACACGTGGCGTTTGTCAAGCTGTTTATCGGTAATGCACTGGACAGCTGGATTATCTGACATGGTCTAAGAAAGGAATTTTTTCCAAGTTTTTCGCCAATTTGGCGTCTTCAAAGCAGAAATAAAAATATGTCAGTTTCCTTCGGTTCATGTGTTTGATAACAAAATTTTATTATCGCAGGGCAAAAGTCTATTCTGTCAAAAAAAAAAACTTAGCCAGTGAAAATACTTGTGTGGGATTTTAATTTTCCATACCCAGCCAAGGCCCCAAGCCACACCTGTGTTTCGTCTAACGTTCCAAAGTGGACTTCTTCTTTGGTGACATCTCTTGATAACACAATTCCATTTTTCGCGGATAAGCGGAAATCGGTCAACGCTTGTTCGCAGGTGGCCTAGATATTTTCTCGTACCAATAGTTTAGATAACCCCTCCTCGCCCACTCAATCTCATTGTCATTGAAATGAAACTCTTTTCGACATTTGATACCTATCAAAAATAACCCTTTTCCTTCTTATTCCCGTCTCTTAAGCCGTGTGTGTGTGTGTTCGCCTATGAGCCGTCTCGTATTACTTTTTCCTTTTCCTTTTCTTCGTTTTCTCTTTCTTTCTTCCAAATCGCCTGAATGCATGGCGGTTCAATCCTCTTGCAAAAAAAAAGAAAGAATTATTCTTAAAACCTAAAATACATTCCGGCCTTAAATAATCCTCAAATGGTTGATAAACCGTAAAAAAGCAAATCATATATCTATAAATATCTTTCAAATCGCCTGGATGCATGGTGCCACAACACATACGTTTTAGATAGATAGCATAAATGCAAACAAACCCCTAAATTTAATTTAAGACCAGAATAATTCAGACAACACATTATTCACAACTTCCTATCAGTTGGGAGTGAACAGGGTGGGGAACCTTAGTTTTACACTAATTTACTGCATCTTCGCTAGTTAATTCTGGGTTCGATTCTCTTTGGAACTATTCTTAAATTCAGTTTGTTTTAAAACAATTTTTAACCAGTTTGTTTTTCATTTTTTTTCCTCAATATTTCAACCTACTCTCCTGAGGATGTTAATAAGTATTACTCTATTAGTAGCAACTCCAAATCACCAGCTTGGAATTTCTTACGATTAAATATTTAGAGTGTCAGTGCCCAGTTAGAGTAAAATTGGTGACCTCTTTTCAAAAGGAGTTCATAAAACTTGTAAAACCTAGCACTGGAGTTATATTCTGAAATTAGTGCAGATTTATAGTCTGGAAGATTATCGAGGCAGTATTTGAATGATGTTAAACATTTAAAACTAACCAATGAAAAGATTAATCACAAAATACGTCTAAAAGTCATGAAATTGTCTAGCTCTTTGGGTATTGTTATTCTTAAAAGGAGTGGCAAATCGATTGTCTTTTGAAATGACTCCATAATAGTTTGTAAGTTGAATGTATTTTTGAAGTAGAGAAAAAGAGCGCCGACTCTTAAAATATTAATTCAGAAGTACGCAAAATATGGCAAGCATTTTAGATTTCGATTAAACTTGCGCATTGGCAAATCATAATCAGATTGGCTCGACTTAGACAGTGATGATACGATCAAAAATGTATTCCGGCGGTAGAAAGGCGATATCAAAATGGCAGTTGCATTAATGCCGGACCACAAGTGTTGAAGGATGGAGAATTTTATTTGAAGAGAGAAACAGATTTTTCATTCGACTGACGACTTAGTTCAACCGCCTGGCCAAAAGGATAAAAAGAGACTGATCATCATTTGAATGGTCAGATTTGAAAGCTTCTCATTTTCCTGCAGCTGTCATTATTCAAGACAGTTTGCTTTTATTCGGGGATTCAGGAAGAGATTATCCAACACAATGATTCACCGCTTCTGATACTACAGAATACAGACCGTAATAAAACCCAACTAAAATCCATAAATCCTTTTAATACTTGATATGTATTTGTGATATATATAGTGCTTTCAGTACTGCCAGAGCACAGTAGAAAAATAATTAACAATCTACAAAATAATTAACGATTATGTCAGGATGAAAATTTGTTAAAGAATATATATATATATATATATATAACGCTCTCTTTATTCGATCGAGAACTATGGGGGGGGAGGCGAATTCGAAAACAGCAGCCGCTGCTATTAACGCACCGCTTTTCAATAAGGAATTGAGCCCTCTGTCTGCTGACGTTTGTATACATTCGTATATAATACATTAGAATTTCTCTACCGTGCGCCGATAGCTTAGGAGTAGGATCTCTGATGCCAAATCGGTCGGGTTTCGATCCAGCTTTGAAGCAATAGGATGTCTAGCTACACTGATGAGCTGTGATACAGCGCAAGAGGCTTGTGTGTAATATATATATATATATATATATAGAGAGAGAGAGAGAGAGTGTAATCATTGAATATTACTGGCAAGGTACAGCCTTTTAATCTTTTTATATTTTTCTTGGATTTGTTCAAGTTGGTTGTTTCTGATGAGCAGCATATCCACTTCTACGGGTCATTTAATGCCGAAATCTAAATATTTTGTCCGCATTTTTAATTTTGAGATACTAATGGCTTTAGAGCTACAAGTATTACTAATCAACCGAGGGCTGAGTGAAGAGGTTGATTTATAACTTTTCCAACGCTATTTGCGCTGAATGAATATAACGAACCACACGGTAATTGGAACCCTGCTCTCCGGTTAACAATTCCAAGCCGTTATCCATTACACCACCCGCACATTCAGTCTTACAGCATCTGGTATTCCCAAGCGGTCACCCATCTAGTTATTGACCACGCTCGACCTTCCTTAACCTCGGTGATCGTACGGGAACTGGTGTTTCAACGTGATGTGGCCATAATCCATTCTTTTTGAGACATTGTAAGAACTATGCTAATGATCTGTGGATCCGAGCGCTTTCGGCTGTCTGTTAGCCATTGTCGAGGATGTTCTTTTTTGTCAGAATATGTAGATTGTTTTTATAGCAATTGTGACGTCCTTGTCGCAGCGCCAGCACTGACGTCCTTGGTTGCGGCGTCAGCTGCGACGTCCCTAAACACAGCCTTCGCTCGCTCCTCGCTGCTCCGTTCGGGTGTCGCCGCTCCAAACCTGACGTCCGCCTGTCGCGTCAGTCGTGTTGTCTCGTCCTGTGACGACCAACTGGCTTGGTATCGGTCGCGGCACCCAAATGTGACGTTCTAACCTTTTGGTGATTCGGATGGGAATCTGGTTAGATTCGATATCAGCCTCGTCGTTCCCAACTCGCTTCCAACGCCTGGTTACCAAAGTAACTGCATTGATCTCCAGTCTGCCTACCCACGTTGTGAATTGATCTTAGGCAGACGAGATCAATCAGTAGTTGGGGCCGTAATGCAAATCGGGTTCAAACGGGGGTGACACCGCACAAATATGCATAAAAGAAAATAAAATGATAACTCAAAAATTCGAGGTATCAAAAAAAAAAAAGGATAAACTTTGTCTAGTTGTTGGATACATAGGACTGCGTCTATTTCCCGACCCGTTCTATGGATTGTGACACGTTGTTTTCCGTTAGGCGAGTTTTAACGCTTCAAGTTGTTTGCTCTTTAAGAAATTGGCTTTTCGGTGTGTCTTCGGGCGAAAGTCGAAAAAAAACTTATTTTGGTGGTCTGGATCTAAGTCGCTCTTCAAATTAATTGTTCTTGGATTGAAGGGGAGTCCGGAATTTGCGTGAATCTTTCCAGTCAGCTATCTGCGAGGCGGAACCAACTTCCACTGCGAACTTCGAACTCTCTGCTGGAACTGAAACTCTAACTCGAACTGATTTCTGCTCGCTGCGACTTCGCTTATATGGACGCCGACCAAAACCGGGGTGGGTTTGTCGGCGCCGGGGGGTCCTCGATAATTCTAAATACATATCCACCTCTTTTATTTCTGGTTAGGAATTTTCCACTTTTTTTTCCATTTTGGGAGCCTTCTCTTACTCCACCTTCTCACCATACTTCAGAGGGGCGTGAACTGCCCTCCCCACTTCTTCGTAGCAACCTCTCATACCCATCCTCTAAATGGGCGGTGTCAGCCTCCTCCGTGCGTCACGTGATCACCACTCGACCAATGATATCTAGTTGGACGTGTACGATCCCGCGGCTTTGTTTCAGGGGAAAAAAATTATCTTTTTTTTTTTTCCTTTTCTTTCTTTTAATCGCAGTTATCATTTTCTCTAGCCGCAAACAGAACAATACGATCGATGGTGGTCATAACTCTTGTTCTCACCTGGGCTTCGTCAGTCATCTTATCGCTAATTATCAGAATGGGTGGTCTTTTTAACACGGCCAGACCGTCGCCTCGAAAAGAAACATTTCTAGGTTCCCATTCATTTTTTCGGTACATATTTCTGATAACAGAGTTTTATTATCGCAGGCTAAAGATGTTCTGTCGAAAGAAATCGGTCAGTGGCCACCTCGTGTGCGGCTTTTGACACAATTAATTTTTCATATCTATCCAAAGCCCTGTAGTCCACCTGTTTCTCGTCATTTATCAAAATAACATTTTCATTTGGATTTTTCTTTGGCTAGTCGGTCTGTGGTTTGCTAATCAGATGCCTTCCCGCATTAGCGGTTTGTTTATGTATCCCGATAACACAGCCCGTCGCTAGAACACACCCGATTCCTTTATCCACTCAGAATTTCCCTGCCATTGTAATGACACGCTTCGCCATTTGTTACTTATCAAAATATCCTTTATCCATTGTCTCGTGGCCGTGGGTGTTCTGCTTATCATCCACGCTTTGGGTCTTCGCCTCGCTTTTCCTTTTTTTTTTCATTCTTTTCTTTTTCTGCCTTGGTAAATGGTGCCACAAATCAGAATGTTTTAATTTCCGAACAGTTCTAAATGCAGAAAACGCTTAAAATAAAGTAAGTTACCAAAAAAAAAAAAAACCAGCTATGAACACAGCCACAACATTCTGTCTGTGTTCGGGAACTAAGATTCCATTTCCTATTAAAAAAAAAAAAATCTACATATTCCGACAAAAGAAAAAAATCCTCGGTAATGCCGAATAGAATAGTTGAAAGCGCTCGGATCCACAGTTCATTTGGTCAGTTCTTGCACACACATTAAAAAAGAAATCCTTTCTATGATTTTCTAAGTGTAACTTAGGTGTGGCACAAGGCAGAAAGTGTGGAGCACCCAGTGCGGATCGAACTCGCTATTCAGTCGTGATTGTTCTAGCAAGATAAGTTCAAAGTTCAAACTCACTACACAGTTGTAATTGGTCTAACGGGACAAGCTTGCTAACGATTATATCACGTCGAAGTTCTCAAGAAATCACTTGAATTAATGCACTGAAAATATGAATAGCTAAAACGGTGTGCTTTAATCTTTTTAAATGAAGCCTGAATAAAAGAGGGATTGCTGCCCAAACACACACACATATATAATATAATATATATATATATATATATATATATATATATAACGATGTCTCTTCAGAGCGAATGTGATCATGACTCTCTTGATAATCATTCTTATCTGTGAATTGCCACCTCTTCGTGGAAAAGAATGTTGTAGTTCTTTTTTGCCTTCTCCACGATTTGAAATTGTTTTCCATTTCTTATGCTTCTTTTCTGCCATCCAAAGCTATAGAATCCACGCCGTGTAATTTAATCTTGAATGATAACGAGGTTTAAAATAACTTCTGACAAAGTTTGAATAAATTTTAAACATTGTTTAACAGCATTTTCTTTGTCCTGCGCACTCGCAGAATTATCAGATGTAAGAAATAAGGCAGAATTATCAGATGTAAGAAATAAGGCAGAATTATCAGATGTAAGAAATAAGGCAGAATTATCAGATGTAAGAAATAAGGCAGAATTATCAGATGTAAGAAATAAGGCAGAATTATCAGATGTAAGAAATAAAGGCAGAATTATCAGATGTAAGAAATAAGGCAGAATTATCAGATGTAAGAAATAAGGCAGAATTATCAGATGTAAGAAATAAGGCAGAATTATCAGATGTAAGAAATAAGGCAGAATTATCAGATGTAAGAAATAAGGCAGAATTATCAGATGTAAGAAATAAGGCAGAATTATCAGATGTAAGAAATAAGGCAGAATTATCAGATGTAAGAAATAAGGCAGAATTATCAGATGTAAGAAATAAGGCAGAATTATCAGATGTAAGAAATAAGGCAGAATTATCAGATGTAAGAAATAAGGCAGAATTATCAGATGTAAGAAATAAGGCAGAATTATCAGATGTAAGAAATAAGGCAGAATTATCAGATGTAAGAAATAAGGCAGAATTATCAGATGTAAGAAATAAGGCAGAATTATCAGATGTAAGAAATAAGGCAGAATTATCAGATGTAAGAAATAAGGCAGAATTATCAGATGTAAGAAATAAGGCAGAATTATCAGATGTAAGAAATAAGGCAGAATTATCAGATGTAAGAAATAAGGCAGAATTATCAGATGTAAGAAATAAGGCAGAATTATCAGATGTAAGAAATAAGGCAGAATTATCAGATGTAAGAAATAAGGCAGAATTATCAGATGTAAGAAATAAGGCAGAATTATCAGATGTAAGAAATAGTCTTTCAACAAGTTCTTGATATGAAAGATAGTTATTTTTGTCGCCAAAATATAGATTTTGTAATTTAAATTACTATTTCCCATTTCTTTTTACATGCTAATTTTAATCCAAATCAAGAGACAACTCGTTGTAGAGGATTACCATTAACATAACAATGAAGGCGATGTACGATACGCATGAAGGAAATAATGGAACGAAGTGAACATTGAAGCTCAGGAGTACCGATAACTGACTCTTGATTCGAAGTGCTAATGATTGTCTTGTTCAGGTTTCCGTTCTACAATATTCTTGGAGAACAAAAGCCATGTCAGTTGACCTTTTATCTGTAACACGGGGGAAATGAGGGTTGTGAGACTCCGTGGAAGTCGCATGGCTGGTCTTCGTCGAAAATGTCTGAACTGGTGGGACTAAAGAATTTGGGATCTGGACATTTCCTATGAAGATAGCGATATAGTTGTGATAGGCTTTCAAAGTTGCATATTTGGTAAAGAGGCTTTAGAGTGAAGAATGTCTGCACTCACAACACTTTAAAATCTGAAAAGTGATGTTTGAGCACTTTCAGCCCAGATATGACAATACTCCATTTTGGGTATTATTTGATAATTTTAGTCATAAAATATAGTCGTCAGTTACTTCCGTGAGCGAGGGAATAAGCCGTCCATTTCCGGACACCTGTAGCAATGGAGTTTTATGTAGTCTGAAGTGAATTTGAAACCCAATAATCGTTCAAAGGATGAATGCTCATCATCAATCTCTGATTAAACGACAGCAGATAGTTTTTTTTGGAATGTATCTTTGGCTAAGCAGAGTATTAAGGAATTCTCTAGTGGGATGTTGAGGATGCCATGAACCAGGAAAAGACAGTAGTAATTTCTAAGGCACATAATGAGGAAAGAGTTTTTAGAAAATTCGACACTCACAGGAAAGATTGACGGCAAGTCGAACAGAAGAAAACGACGCATAACCTACTCGGTGGATTCAGTAAATGGATGGCGGAACAAAAGAGACTTCAAGCAACAGAAACGTGGTTCTACAGAAGGATGTTTAGGATATCATGGACCGAACATGTGAGCAACGACGAAGATCCCGAGAGAATGAAAATAAAATGGACACTTATACTTATAAGAGAGAGAAAATTGAAGTTTCTAGTGTAGATCATGAGGAAAGCGGGCTTGTAAAATTTGATATTCACAGGACAGATCGTAGGCAAGACACACGGGAAAAACCACGCATAAAATAACTAGCGAGCTTCAGTGAATAGATGGCGGAATAGGTTTTGGGAGAGA